ACCCTCCGCATCTCTGGCCTGTACCCCACTTCCATATGAATAAATAAATAAATCTTAAAAAAAAATCTGTGCTTTGATTAGCACCATATCTTAAACTATTTACCTAGTAAGTTTCTAAGTTGAAGTTTTTCCCAAACACTCTGATTTTGAATCTGGGGTGAAGAGAATTCTTTTTCTGCACAGTGATACTGTATGCTTGTGGATCTGCTCATCCTAAGCGTCCTGCTTGGCCACCATTTTTGTTACCTGCAGTATGCGTTCCTATACAGAACTGCCCAATTGATCAGTTATAGGAGCCCACCCCTACGAGTTGAGTTGCCTTTCAAATCAAGAGCAGAAAGCTTGATCACCTTGGGAAGGGTGTGCATCTGAGTTATAGTCAGGAATGCCAGCTCTGAAGTGTGCCTGAACTCCGTGGGTATGGCAGTCTCTTCAATAAATGGTGCTAGGATAAATGGATATTAGCACAACAGAATAAAACTGGACCCTGATCACACAGCATTCACAATTAACATAAAGTGAATTAAAGACTTAAATAAGGGCCTCTCTGGTGCCATAGGGGTTAATGTGTCAGTGTCATGAAGCCATTGCCAGGCACTGCCAGCATGAGTTTGATCCCGTGCTAGGGAGCTAATCCACATGGCACAGCAGACCTCTCCTGCCTCTCCAGCTGTTCCCCTCAGCAATACATTTCAGTACATCTGCCTGTTCTCGCCCCATTCTGCACTTCTGGCCTATACCACAATTCTTGTATACATAAATAAATCTTTTAAAAATAAATAAAAGTAAGGTTTAAATAAATGTAAGAGGGCCCTCCCTGGTGGCGCAGCGGGTTAAAAGCACAGCACAAAGAAGCTTAAGCCACTTCCGCATGAGTTCCATCCCCGCTTGCCCCGAGGAGTCCACATGGCGCCGCAGACCTGCTGCTCCCCTCAGCGGTGTCCTTCGTCGATCTGCCTGTTCTGCTCCCTGCTCTGTCTCTGGTGAATTCTCTCTGGCCTGTACCCCAGTTCTGTACGAATAAATAAATAAATCTTGAAAAAAAAAAAGTAAGACCTGAAACCATGATTTACCTGTGAGAAAACACAGGAATAAGGCATCTTACATACATGAGTATGATAGTGATTTTTTAGAAAAGACACCTAAAGCATTAAAGAATAAAATAAAAAACATAATCAGACTACATAATACTAAAAAGTTTTTGCACAGCAAAATATCAACAAAGTGAAAAGAAAAGCTGTAGGATGGGACAAATATTTGCAAAACATATATCTAATAAAGGTTTAATATCCAAACTGGATGAATACATACAACTCAGTAGCAACAAAACATATTCCAATGGAAAATGGGCAAGCGAACTGAATAGATACTTCTTTCAAAAGATACTAAAATAAGTCCAACAAGTGGTTGGGATGGGGTGGGGTGACGAAAGCTCAGTAAAACTTGTAGTTAATGGTATTGTGCCAATGTTAGTTTTGATAGTAAGTAAATTGTTAAGATTAGGAAAGATGGGGCTCTCTGAATTATCAGGGAGAAAAAAGGGAAGTCTAATGATAATAACAGTGGAGGGTAACACAATTGAAAAATAAGTCCAACAAGTACATGAAAAGATGTGCTAACTCCTTCATTAGTCATTTGGGAAATTCAAGTGAAAATCACAGTGAGACAAAAGACTAGAGAGAGAACAGATGCATAGGTGAGGAGAAAAAAACCTTATATACTATAGTTGAAATCCTAAATTGGTATAGTCACGGGAAAACAGTATGGAGGATACTTGGAAAAATTAAACAGCTACCTTATATATGAAACAGCATTCCACTTTTAGGATTATACCCCCCCAAAATAAAAAACCATCAAAAGATAACTACATCCACTTCCACTTCCACAGCAGCATTTACAGAAACCTGAGTCCTCAGTGGATGAATTTATAGAGAAGTTGTGGTACACACATACAGAGGAATATTATTCAGTCATAAGAAGAAATTGTACAATTTGTAACAACATAGATGAACTTTGAGGCATTATACTAAGAGAAATAAACTAGAGAATAATAAATGCTGTATGATCTCACTTATAAAAAATCAAACTTACAGCATAGAGATTAGACTTGTAATTAGAGGGAGTGAGAACAGGATGAGAGGGGAACTGAAAGATGAGGTAATGAAAAGTACAAACTTAGGTAATAAGTAGTAAGAATGGCAACTAAGGCTGTTGAATGATATATAGGAAAGCTGTTGAAAGATAACCTGAATTCTCAACACAAGGAGAAAACTTCCTTTTTTGTTTCCTTCTCATTGTATTTACATGAGAAGGTGAATGCTAGGTTAGTGCGTACTCACGATATACCTCAATCAAACCATAACGCAATATACCTTGATCAGTGATATATGTCTATTATTTATCAATAAAACTGGAAAAAATCTGCTCCTGCGCTCCCATATATTATGAGAGCTAAATCTGAGATCTGACAAAAGAGCAAAACACTGTTAAAACTAATTTTTAACACTTAAATCAGTAGCTAGATTTACTTTGTTCAAAGTCATGGCCAACATTATTAACACGTAAATTTTTCTCACTTGAGGGAGAGATTCTATGCAACCTTAGTAAGAATTTCAGGTTGTTTTTTTTTAACAGAAAGTAAAAAGCTGGTTTAAAGTTCATATGGAAATAGAAGCGCCTACATAAACGTGAAAGGACAAAATTGGAGTTCAAACACTATCTGAAATTAAGACTGATTATCTGAGAACAGAAAATGAAGTCACAGACCCACACACAGAAGGACAACTTTTCTTTGACAAGTACGAAGCCTATTCAACAAATGGTGCTAGATAACCATAAGCAAAAGCTACCTCTAGTCCACAATTCTCGCCACATACAAAAAGTTAGTTCAATGGATCGTAGACCTAAACATAAAACCTTACATTCTGAAAGGAAAACAGTTGAAAATTGTGTGGCTTTGAGGATAGGCAGAACTCTTTGCTAGCAAAAGGACCATACAAATTTCC